TCTTGCAGCATCTGCCGCCTCCAGGCACAAGCCAAGGTCGATGCCTATTGTTATTCATGGGGAGGGTTGAGAGGGGGGCACGGTGAATGATGACAACATCACCGGAGTGTAACACCGCAGCGGCCCAGGGAGGCAGCGGGGGTGGCATGAACATATTAATGGTGAAATTTGTCAAACCTACGGTCCACGCAGGACAGGTGACGGCGTTTACACTGATAGTTATGTGATTGTTCAGCACTGACACTGACACATAAAAACAAACCACCGCACACAGACCGTGACGAGCGGATCTATAAAAATGCAGGAAGCAGGAGAAAAAATTGCTAAATTGGTACCGCAAGAAGGGAAAGGATGAGACTGCGTACACAAAACTATTTTCACTTCGTTCAGCCAGGCAACGACACACACACATATACATACATATGTATATGTGTGTATATGTGTCTATGTCTAATATTAATTGTAAATATATGTATTTCATTTCAATTTAATAGTAAATATAATAAACAATGTACTTAATATGTACCATTTACTATTGATTTGATACTTTTGCTTTTTGATTGTCGAAGTCGAACTACTTATTATTTAATTAACATCTAACAGTAACTATTTAAAATATGAACATTAACATGTTTAATATTAATCTTAAATATTTACAATTTAATTCCAATTTGAATATCTGCTTAAAAATTTCAATAGTTAATGCTAGCTATACCACAAATACTACAAGTATTTGCTCAATATCTAGCATTTATTACTGACATTTTACTATGTCAAATAGTATTTGCAAATATTAAATATTTTATTAAAATTTAATTGTAACCATTTGCTATTAACTATAAATTATTTACTAAAATTTAAATATATATTTGACTCAAATATTTGTCCAAATGCCAGTAGTAAGCACGTACTAATAACTAAAATATTTACTAAATATTTACCACTTATTTATATTAAATAATCATTATTATCAATATTTAGTTTTACAATTCCCCAGAAAAACAAAGTCACATGATCAGTCTCATATCTCCTTAGCCTCTCAGAAGAGTTCTTCGTTCAGACTTTTGTGAAATACAAAGGATTTGGTCATTTGTGCAACGCAGGATCCACGAGGCAACAAAACGGAACCAGAAGAGTGACGAAGAGCAGCAGTGCTGCTGATGGTCCG